CCGATTGGCGTAATCGGGTGTCATTACCGCCGACGTGAATAACAATCTTATTGTATTTACGTTTATCTTTAGCCAGCAGTTTTAAAGCGTTTGAGCATGGCCAGTTGGAACATGTATAAATTGGTGATATTGAATGGACAGTAAGACAATCAGTCAATGCTGCATTGGCCAGACACCATAGAAAATGTGGAAAATCATGATTGTGAATGTTTTGGTGACAACCCCAACACCCCTTACAGCATCACCTGTAGGCCAAAACGACAAAGACTGCTAGCCAGACTGGTATAAAGTTCCTTGAAACACATGAATTAGTACTGTAAATACAATATAACTTTTTTTCACTTGGTTCATTTCAGCATGCCAGATGAAATGACTTGTTAAGATTTATTGTTTTGCTGGTATAAAGCTGAAAGCAGCAGTGTACCCTTGTACATAGTTTGAAATTGTGATGTTAAATATTCCTGAACTCAGCATTGCTGGGAACCTTGTAGATCCATCATCACAGCTCTGTATGATTAGGCCCGGCTGAAAGTCGTATTACTCATTTATATTTGTGCAACACAGTGACACGTGGTGTTGCTCATTCATTACTTTAAGAGAGTGAAACACTCTGCCACATCTATTAGAAAGTGATATAAATCTGTTCTAAATCCATTCAATTAGAGCCTGTTTCTGACCTTGCAGAGGTCGCTTTGACACCAGATTAGAAGAACAAACTGAATTTAATGTTTGCATTGTTAAATACTATTTCACAAGGTTTGAATGAGAAATATTCTGTTACTCTGAGTATTATGTTTCAGTATTGTTTGAATTTTGCCTTGCTCCTTTAGTCATAACCTAACTTTTCTCAACTTGATCTTGAATTAGTGTCAGCCCCTCTCTTACCAGGGGTCACTTCATGTCCAGTGCACTGGAAGGTGTCTTTGGCAGGCAACAGCGGAGAGGAGGAGGGAGAACTAAAAGTGTGGGTGTGAGATAAGACAGGTGTATGGGTCGATATTGGCCCTTTATGCTGCACTGGATATACAGTCAGTCAGTATGTCTAACTTTGATAAAATGTCCCATGATGCTTTTTCACATTGACAAGATATATGAATCCAAACAGCCAGTGTTCTTAGGGGCACACTGGTGGAATGTGGTTGTATTTGTAGATATAAAAAAAATGTTGATAACTGGATGTTTCACTACAACAATGTAAGAACTACATGCACAGAGGCAACAAGCAGAATTACAAATGTAAGCATCTTTGGATTATCTTGTTTGTTTTATACAAATATAACAATCTATAATGACAACACAACACTGAAAGCTTCATTTAATTCCAAGCGAAAATGGAAAACTAATGGCTTTATCAGTTCAGCAGTCATTTTTGTCAAAACATGGTTTAAATGAAACATCAATGGCTCAACTAACAGGAATGTCAACATGTCATATGTCTTGTATCATCTTTATTAAGTCGATAAGGTGAACATGTTAGCAAACATATACCGAAGTACACATCCAGCAGACACAGAGCGGCATTAGCATTCATTTGCAGTCGTGTTTGTGTCCACCAGATAAATTTAAGTCCAATATGCAATATGTACTGTTCTGTAGAGTTAATGTGAACTGCACAGTTGGTGATAATAATTCTATGAGTTGGTCATTACGAGTGACACCTTATAAGAAATATATGTATTGATTAGTACAGCTTTATAGGATTCTGGTTTTGTTATAGGGATACCACTTTTACCACGTTGGAACAGTAAGCAATGTCATCTTGTTTTGCTGAGGGTGGCTAACGTCAGCAGCGCTAGTGCTAGCTGCCCACTCCCTTTGCAGGTTAACGTCCACATGTCCACTGTGCTAAATGTGGTTACGTCGAGTGGTTATTTGCCAGTTTATTTCTGACACAAATTGTTTTCATTTTCTACTTGATCAAAACACTGATGAGCTACACCGGTTTTCCAAGCCACAATCCATGAGTTCATATAAGAGCTTTCTTCATATTTAAAGTTTAGACTTACATGCTGCTCACGCGTTACCTCCTGTGTAGACACAGTTTTAGAGAGGACAGTCATATTTGCACAATTACAAGAGGGAGCTTGTCACATAGTATTTAAACAAACAGCAATTTATTTTTGAAGTCTATAGTTGTATTTTTATAATGTTTGTACGATGCTCAGGTTGAACCCCACAGTGGGATACAGTAGTTAAGGTGGAAAAGTGCCCCAAAAATGATCCTGAAACAGCTTAGGCTGACGGTGGTTTGTTTTTTTAACACCTCAGATGGCCCCTGTGTCATTAACAGCCACTCTCTTCCCTCTGTTACCACCTGGAGGCCACTGCAGGCCAGCAAACTGCTCCTGATGCTGAAAATAGCAGTTTGCCCTCTCTCTGTGAAAAGGACAAATACACTGCACCTCCAGCACCCTGCACACACACACACTTTATTTCACACTTCATCATGAATGATCAATGAAACTCATCTTGTAAATCATTACAGCAGGGAGGTAAGAGTGGGAGACTTGCAGTTGAAGGGGATAATATATTGCCCTGGTCATAGGCGTCAATTAAGAGTGGCAAGAAGTGAAAACATAGAACATATCTGTTCAATAAATATTTTCTTGCCAAGACTGTTATGTTTTCTGTGCCGTTTATTTGTTAGTGTGTTTGTTTGTCTGGAACAGGATTAGGATGAAAACTACTGGCCCAATTTTTAAAATTTTCACACTTGGTGGAAGGGGGCAAGCACGAGCCAAGGATTACATTTGGAGTGAATTTAAATCACAGGGCGGATACACAAATTATTTTCAACTTTTGTTAGAATTAGGAGATCAGTTGACTCCTCCTAAGCCCCGCCATTTTTTGCTCTGTGCTCCAATAA